AATGATTTTGATTACTACTAAAAATGAGCAAAATTTCAAGAAGTTATGTTCATTTTATTTCAAGAAAATAAGATTATTCAAGAAAAGGCGTTTTTCTTAAATTAACCACTTTGTCAAGCAGTTTTGGCGTGACTTTCTACCAGCGATTTCACAAAACTGGACCAACTAATTTCTATTTTTTTATGAAACGCACAAATGTTGGCTACTTTTCTCAAGGTTCTAGAAAAAAAATTCTCAAAATAATGTTTTATTTCAAAGTTCGAGTTGTAGTAAACGTCATTTTAACTGCTCGAATGAAGTGGTTAATTGCTCTAACTTTTTGTAAACTCAACCGAATATTCCCAATAATTAATAAATGTATGCTGAGTCAGCTGCCAAAAGTTCAGAGACGTATATTTTTAACTTGTACTTTTAGAGCCTTTTTGACGTAGGACTACGTCTGTGATTTCTATATGGGGTTACACTTTGTAAAAACCGAAAATGGAACATGTGACAAAATTATGAAAGAGCAACACAAGCAACTAGCTATCAAGGCTGCCCGCAACCGCTGATCGGATTCAGCTCCAATCACCGTGTGCGGTGATGTCCGGTCGTCGGCTTCAGCAACAGTGTTCAACATTGTTCTCCATTACACAACGAAAGGCTGACTGCAAGCAGCAAACTACAACCCACGTGAGCATCCATATAAGGAGGAAGAAGCCGCACTGCTACTGATCGGAATCAGTAGCTCTTCGTGAGTCGCTGTGGGCCATGTCAAGCGCGTCATACTAAAGAATATAAACAGAGATAGAGAACCCCGCTCAAATTCCTATTCCTACACAAAACACAAGCTCCTGCTGCAGTTAACAAATAAAATTTATTATATAAGACCACGTAGTCCTACGTCACCATTGCGTACAACCCAAGGGGTTGGTCACTCTACACAGTGTGCCAAAATCAAACTGGGGCACATCGGGGTGCAGTCATTGACGTTGTTTGGCACCCATGGTTACAATTTTTATGATCTTCAAAGTTACTGGCAACACTGAACTTTTTCTGCGCCTGCCCAGTGTGCATGTGTCAAAATTTGTTATTGACGTTGCCACTCCTAGTCAAATTATTTTCAAAACAACCGTGAATCTCCACCAAGTCTCTCCATGGGTTCTCAAAACATCCACATTTCCTCTCATACGAAGAACAGCTGACAGCGGTATCTTGACTTAACCGAGGTTTCCGGCCATGGCTACACGAACTAGCGATGCAGCTCCCACGGCTGCGGCTGCTTCCAATGCTGCTGCTGGTCCGTCTTTTTTGACGAATTTTAGAGGAGACGGACCAGCAGAAGGAACAGCAGCAGCAGCAGCATTGGAATCAGCCGCAGCCGTGGGAGCTGCATCGCTAATTTGTGTAGCCGTGGTCGACGCTGGAAATCTTGGGCCGGTCACGACAAGCGGTGCTTGAGTTTTAATCGGAAAGTCAACAACCAAACAAAACTGCTCGAATACATCCATGGCGGTGGCTGCTACATCAACCATTCCATCGTCCAACATATAATGTTGGAGGACCGTCTTGGCAAAATCTCAAATAGTTCAACAAATTTTCACTCTCGTTCCTTTTTGCACTTCCCACTAATACAATAAGAAATTATAATTACGAATCATAACATTAACTACCCAGAAAAAGGAAAATCCTTTCTTTTCTCAGAAAATAAGCTTCCGCTCTTTCAAAGCTAACGTGTTTTCGGTGTTCTCGTTGCTCCACGCACCGTTCATCTTCTTGGAGGAGGAGAAGCACAGCTTCATAATGAACAGGAGTTTTGTGCATTTGTGATCATCGCGCTGTGGTTGCACTTCATGATGACGTTCACCGCCAGGGCTACGCTCGGGAGCTCGACCAATCCGGAGGAGGAACTTCCCGATTTCAGCGGGAACATCCGCACTTGCGACGGGTGGCAGCCCTTGGTGGTGAATGCAGTCAGCAGCAGATCCTCGGACGGCATACGGGTGCGCGATTGTTCTTGAAGGCGCTGTAGACCTTGAAGCTGATCGAATTGTCCTGCAGGGTGTACGGGTTGGTGGACTCTAACAAGTAGTTCAGCTTGGAAAATTGGCTGGTGCGTTTCGGGTCAGCGGTGCGTCCTTCATCAGTCCGACGTGTGTTCTGGCTGGTGTTGGTTTCCAGTTTTCCGACGGATGATACTCGGGCGGTGAAAAATTCGGTGCAAATCCATTTCCTCCGCCGGCTCCCAGAAGGATTGGTTGACTAATGATTGACGTTCGCTGTGCGGGGTCAGCCTTCCGCCAAAGATGGAAGGAACGTGGAGCTCGTCCGTTGCAGGCATCCTTGGAGACGGATGCATCCAGTGTGTAGTCCCAACTGGAGTCCGTGTCATTTTTGAAAACATTGAAAAACAAAACAAAAATAAAAGCTGTTAAAATACCGGGTTGCCAAACAAGGCATTATTCACAAGCAATCAAAAGTCAGTTCAATGACTTCTTGACACTGCCGGTACAACTGCGGCACACTGAGGTACACTGAGAAAAAAGTTGGCACAAAACAAGTGTGTAGAGTGACCACCCCTTGGTACAACCCCATAGAGCTGTCCCTTGTAGTTTTTTTCTTAAACACTGTACATGCAAGATTGAGAGCTGGAGTCGGAATGGGAATCGCTTCGTTGCCTCCATGGTCTGCCCATCCTGCGTACGGGACATGCTAAGAGTTGTACCACATAGGTATCTCTAAGACCAGTAGGTCTCGAAGAAACGTGCTCAATAGACTGATGCAAAATTTGAAATTTTCGCTCCACAGTCCTCAAACGGTGCCAAATCGGGTCCTGATTAGCCTCCAAAAGTGAAAACTCATTTTATAAGAAACTGACTTGGCACAAACCATTTGAAGTTTACATGGAAATTACTATGGGAAAACAAAACTTTTTGTTCATTGTCTTCTAGCCAAATTCTATTGCTATTCTTATGCGAATTTTTATCAGCTACAACTTTGCAGAAGATCATTTTTCAGCCAAACGTCAAATTGAATAGTTATTGTTTTTTTAAGAGATTGATAATCTTATGGCAAGATTAAGCAACTGTATTGTGGGCAACACTGTATTCTGCAGTGTGACATAGTAGCCATGATTTTTGTCCTCTATTCTACGCGCCATAAACACCAATGTTGCCTGCTGAACAGTTGATTGAGCATAATCATAAGACATCAGTGACTTGAATCATTAATAATTTTTGTTCCTTACATTTGATCGAAAAGTGGTTTTCAACAAAGTTGTAGCTGAGAAAATTTTCAACAAGCTCAGCTATCATTTTCTAAAGTAGAGTGAACTGGTGAATTTTGAGATAGATATGAACTGAAATTATGGTTTCTCCATAGTAATTCCCATATAAACTTGAAATGGTTTGTGCCTAGTCAATTTTAAACTAAATGAGTTCAAATTTTGGGAGGCTAATCAGGGACCAATTTGGAACCATTTGAGCACTGTGGAGCGAAAATTTCAAATTTTGCATCAGTCTAGTGCTCAACTTGTTGGCTCAGCTCTGGTACTAAATATCTTCGGTTCCAAGCGAATCAATGCACCCCTCGAAACATAGGAAAATCCACGAACCCCTCATTTTATTTGTCACACATTCATAGCGAATCAGAACAAACATAGTGTAGTACTAGAATTTCGACTATAATGGGGCACGTTAATCGATTTGCTTGGGACCAATAGACTAGTCAAGTAGTGAGCCAATTTTAAATCGTTAGTTTCCACCGGTTAGTTGTACCAACAATCAATACGAAACTAACGATTTTAAATTGGCTCACCACTTTAGTAGGCTATTGGTCTCAAGCAAACGATTAACGTACCCTATTCTAGTTGAAATTCTATTACTACACTATGTTTGTTTTGATTCGCTATGAAAGTTTGACAGATAACATCAGGGGTGTGTGGATTCATGGAGAACATGCAGGGGTGAGTGAAATAGCTTGGGACTGCTTGGGACCGTTGTTCTGGTACTGAGTGAGCCAAAAATAATAATGATTTTCTTCGGGACCCAGTGGTCTTAGAGTTACCTCTATGGTTGTACTGCGCTTTTTGAAGGCAGCGAAGCTATATTTCAAGATTAAGCACCATCGATTCTTTCGGCCGTCGGGGGCTCCTTTTTAGTTTGTCTTTTTCGTATGCTGTTTACTGTGTTATTGTACTTTTAGTTAAGTAGATAATTAAATGTTGAAGTAGCATGATATTCAAGCAATGTGGCTGAGGAACCTCTTTCTAAGGCTTCCCACCCTTTATGGAGATGACCAAAAATATTTAGAAAGTTTGAAAAAAAAAATGCTGTCACATGTCGCCAATGTATCTATTACTGGGCCCATTGCCTTCTTGCACATAGCTTCTTGCATTGAGCTGCTTACTTGGGAGTTCTGGACTTTCAATATATTCATGATTTGGACATTTATTTGGCCATACTCAAGCTTCAACTGTTTCCAAAAGAACACATCAAAGTTGAGTTTGTATATTATAATTAATAGTTTTTCGATCGAGCAGCGCTTTTGACAAAACTTACCTCATCCCAAGTCTCTTTCATTTTAAAAACGGCACCAAACTTGATACATCTCAATCAACATTTAAAATTCTAATGTCGTTTTCGTTTTTACGGTGTAGCACTGGTGTAGTGTAAGCAGGAATAAGCGCGAGTCTTTGACAGCTCAACATCATTTGTTTGTAAACAAAGATGCATCCTATATTTACACCCTAAAATATTTTGGTGTACGGCAGTGACGAAAACGACATTAGAATTTTAAATGTTGATTGAGACGGATATTTTCATTTGGAGTAAACAAACCTTAGCAACGGGTAAATCAATTAGAAAAACTTCAGCACTCAACGGTGTTGCCGTTTTATATAATATTGTTCGTGTCATACGTATAAGCGTGGGTCTTAACTGCCGAACATATCATACATAACATCTTGCCATAAATCAAAATTCTCGATTACAATACTCACCATTTCGTCACTATTTCCGCAGGAACGAGTTTACGAGGAGAAGTACCTGGGCCTACCGCACGGCACCGCCACCACGACGCTGATCTCACCGGCTTCGTCATCGCAAATTTCTTCCGCATCGGCAGTGCTTCCAGTGTAAACAACAGCGCCACAGCTCGCTGACAAGTAGAAATTGTATAGAAAAAAAAAAACACATGGAACTGATTAAACACAACCAAAACAAAATGCAAGAAACTGATTCAAATCAATGAGACATATTCACTGAAAATGAGTACGTTTATAAAACAGAAACTCAAGGCAGCTACATTAGAACGAAAACAAGAGAGATACTAACTAATAACTATGAGAAACCTAAGGTTGAGAACAAACTAAAGAAATGACATTTAAGACATAAATACAAATAAAACATCAAAACGTTGAACTATTTTTTAGCCGGTGTTGTCCCGAATTATTTTTTGTATTGGAAACATGAACGCAAACAAAAAACAAACTGATAAAAAGGCTCACTTCGAGTATGAAAAAAAACAACTGTCACACGATTTTAGCTGGTAGTAAACAAAACGAGAAGAGGACAGTCAACGAAAAACTCTAAACTTTGACAAATGAAAAATAAGGCAAACTAGAATTTTACCTCTTCTCGTACCGATCGATGACGTCGAAGCAACAGAAAAGGCAGATTTTTTCAAGAGCTGTCGAAGGCTCGCAAACCCAAAATGAATAAGCAAACCGCTGTTAACCAGTAATTTGGAACTACAAAAAGCATACATTACCAATAACTAGTGTGGTTATGAAACTGGTTGTAATTTTATGAGCAGAAGTAAAACAAATAGAAATCTAATCACTATCTCACAACAAACAAAAACACACACACTTACACATTCCCCGAAACCCGAAGCAACGGAAGCTATAGAGTAAATTTAACACTGAGAGACAGCTGAATAGTAAACAACCAACCAAACCAAACAACAGCCGCAGTTGAAGTTGATTTTTCCAAATTTTCGGTTTGACAGCCTCTGCCAAAACCGTCCCTGATTCGGTCACCGCCTCCTGATTCCTCCTGATCCCGCAGCAAATCCCGATTTGTGAATCCAAACCAACAGCAAACCATGTATCTAAAATTAAAGAAAAGAGAAAAACTGTCGTTGAACGCTATTTAAAATGAAAACAAAGGAAAACTAAAAAAGTATATATATATGAATGTTTTATATATTTCTAGTTTTTTATACATATCCTGTGCAACTAGATGGAGGAAGATTGAACAGACGAAGGCATGAGAGAGGATTTACGCCCAATTCGCATCAGAAACTTTAGTGAAACGAGTAAATTTTCCGTTTGTGAGTTCGGCTCTTGATTTACGAATTTTGACGTTTGGTTTCGGGTTACTATTGATTACAAACAAACAAACAAAAAAACAAATAAGTAAAATTGACAACATGGCTGTGTGACGTTTTGAAAACGAATGATTTTCGCGGATTATAAAAGTTTCTTTGGGCGAACACGCAAGAGGAACTGCTCACTGCTACCCTGCTGCCGGACTGAAGTGTGGCAACTGAGGTGTCATTTTAATAAACTTTATTATTGAATTTACGATTATTGCAAGTACGGATAGTATGTACTCTTATAGGTAAATAATGCCAGATCAAATCTGAGTGTTGTAAATATAGGCAACTAAATACAAGGGAGGAAATGCGTAGGGATGTATATTTTTTTAATTGAAATTGGTCTCAGAAGCCGGAAGTTACTAGTTTTCTGTGAACGATGAGAATTGACAGGGAGGTGAGTTAGGTAAGGGTGAGCGAATTTGCAGTGAGAGGCATGCTTGGTTTTTGTTGATTTGTTCACTTCAAACAAGAAAGGAATGACAGTTTATAAAATTAAAAAAAAAATTAAAACAGGAAGGAAATTGATTTTTTGCAGTTTGCATACATTTTCTTATCAAGCATTAAGCAAACACAGAAAACAGCAAGTTAATTAGAGTAATTATCTGGGATAAAGTAAACAACGTTAATGTACATAACAATACTTTCCTACAATTGCAGTGAACAACTCATTGAATCGATTGTAAGAAACTAAAAACCTACATCTAATATAGACTTAAGTGGAATGGGAGCGTTCGAGAGGAACGGGGGAGAAGAAAACAAGTGAAACTTTGTGCCAAAAACTAGCCGGAAGATGGCAACCCGGGCGCAAACGTCAGGCTCGAGACCCGCGGTGACACACAGCAGGCGTTGATCTCCAAAACAACGCACTCAGCTGTCACTCGGCTCCGCCCCGTTGGCTCGCTCGTTCGCCATTCTTCCGTGAAGAGAAAACCTGTAAAATAATACTGTCTGCTCACTAAGGAAAAATCTAAACCAAACAAAAACGTATAAAACGAGGAAGTTAAAAAAAAACAAACGATATTTTTCACTAAGTGGATAAAAGACTGATTTGATTGTCTGAGTTTTTACTCTCTTTCTCTCTCTATATTTTTGATGAGTCGATCGCTTGGGTGATTACGAAAAAAGGTCATAATTGAGGTGAAAACCGATACTTTGATGATTCAGTTGACGTTTCTGTCATGTTTGTTTACGCTAACACCTCTTTGGTTGTCGGAGATGATCCATTTCATCGCATGAGGCGGCTCTTTAGCTGCGGAAGTTGCTCTCGCGAGCATTTTGTGAAATGGATTCCGCTGAAGTTTTGTACTTACGTTTCAATTCACTGTCACAGCTATGGGTTAAACGATCAAATCGATATTTTCGTTTCGTTCAAAACACTTCAGTCGAGTTTTGTAAAACTATATAAGGTTTTTGATATAAATACAAAGTGAAAGAACATAAATAAATTTGCTCATATATCACTGTATAAATTTGACAATATAAAGATCAAATAATGACACACAAAAAATTAAGAAGAAAAGCATGAGAGTAAACAAAAACACTGTTCAGAAAATAAACTTTAACTTACTTGCTTGTATCAAACAAAAACAACACCCAAATGGCAGCTGCCATGTCAACGACGCGCAGAACAGGTAGTTTGCCGGGGCAGGTATCGAGCCTTTCGGGTCACCATAGCGACAACCTAAGCCGACAGCGATTATACCCGATTATGGGGCTCTAAATTGAGTATAATCAACCAACGACGTTCATAAACGTTCGGTTTAGCTTCTCCACCCGAAAGCAAGTGCGGATTGGCTCTCACGAGATGGACAGCGCAGCGCGGTTGACATGGCAACGCGGATCCGATAAGCAACCAAACAAACACAAAACCAATTTCAGCGCAGAAAAGTGTAAATCAACCTTCGACGGAGAGAGGCACAAGTTGTTAAAAGATTCAAACACGGGGAAGATTTCCAAACCACCAACCAAAATCCGTTTCAATTTTCCAACAACACAGTGTATTGAACCTTTTCCAAATGCGCGTTTTAGTGCATTAGAAAGAACGGAACGTCAGGCTTGAATTCGTTTTCGTCGATTTGTTTACTATTTTTTTATACACAAATCGAGATGCAACCCGACACAGGTGGTGCAAGTTATAGGTAAATGAATATAGCGAAACACAGATATTCGGTTCCGAAAATCTGTAGCTCGCCCAGTGACGCAGGGGACGTAGCGATTAGGGGAGGGTTTAAAGAGATAAGATGCGATATTTACACTTATAGTGCAAAATATGAGTATGTAAACAAACGCTGAACGGGATTCACCAACCTTGGCATATGCAAAAAAAAAAAGAAACGTTGTTAGTGCCAATTGTTTTTCTATTGAGTTCGAGGGAAACGACAAACAAGGAAAAGAAGCCAAACACACACTCACACACAGAAACTTTATTTTTTATAAGAAAACGAAGAGAAAAAAAATGTGAGTAACACACCTAAACGCATTTTAAGTAAACACAAACACAGTCTCACTGAAGAAGAGAAGGAGATCAAACGATGAAAGATGAAAAACAAAAGTGTAACTAATTTTTACTAAAAGAAAAGATAAACCCTAGCAAGTAAGAATGAAAGAAAATGAAAAAAAAAACATACAAACGCACCCAACCCGGAAGGCCCAGATCCGAAACGATTCACCAGAACACGCCTCCACAATTTGTGTCAGATTCGTTTCGGCTGAAACTTCCGTAAATTCAATCACAGTGCTATTTTTCTCAACTCTCGAATCTATCCATTTCCGTTCAACCCCGGTTGGGCGCGTACCGTCAGTCAATTCAGTCCAGCGCACTGAACAACTGCTATGAGGAAAATTACTCTAAAAACATGAACATTTTTTCGTTTGTTTCCGTTCCACTTTTTGATAAAGAATAATGACAGAATGAAAAAAAAAAAACAAAAATTAAAAACATAACACAAGCAAACAGAAACTTTAGCGACGAGGGAGAAACAGAAAATCAAAGAAACAGAACGTAACAGAAGACGTTTAAAACAAATGTAGAAACAAACAAACAAATATTCAATGACATGAAACCCAAATGCTGTGAGGAATTAAATGATGAAAAATAAATTTAAAAACAGTCAAAAACAAAACGAAAAAATAAAACGTCAGTCAAGAATGGTGGCAAGATTGGAAGAACTAAAACAGTTCAACACAAACAAAATCACACAGGTATTGAGACGCGAAGGAATGTGTAAAGCAAGTGCAAAACACAAAAAAAAAACAAAGAAACAACACTGAAAACAGGAGAAAAGTACATAAAACGGAAGAGAGATGCCAAGAAGAGTGAAGAATGAATAAAAAAAAACAAGTTGAAAATTAGTCCTGTGAACATAAAAGAAAAAAAAAAAACAAGAAAATTAATAAATGTATTTTAAATGTTACATCACGGGGGTTTGGTGTTGAATGCGTGAAAGAAAGCACATTTTTTATTCATTTACCCAATGGGAGGACGAGGAGCGATCCTTTGTCAATGCTATGAATGTGAATGTTTTTTTTTGCCGGCTCTATAAAAAATTCTCAGAAATACAATAAAATTTAAAAATTTACCGTTTGAAATCAGGCTTGAACATGCTCATTACAGCAAGGGGTGGTCACTCTACACACTTATTTTGTACCAAATTTTTTTCAGTGTGTCTCTCACGTGTGCCGCAGCTGTGTCAGCAGGCTTTTGTTTGCTTGTGAATAATGGCATGCTTGGCAACCCGTTGCATTTGACAGTTCGAATGTATTGTTTGGATGGAAGATTACAATAAGCAGTGGTATACGAACCAAAGCGATGATCCAGATCCTGGACAAACTGACCCGATTGGAGGGTCCCCTCGAAAAGGAGTTTCAAAGCAAAGACAGCATAAAAACGCATCTGATGGCATTCGGAATTTTCAGCCGTCGGGGAAAGCTGCTGCGAATGGAACTCTTTCGGAGATCGAAATCGGCTGCGGAGATCACTTTAAATTCTTTCAACTCGCAGAGCGGAATAAATAAACTAAACACAGCAGAGTTTCTTCGAGTACTACTTTACATAAAAGCAGCTGTTTGGTTTATTCAGGCTGTGAACCATTTGCCGAGTTAAATTTAACTCGTGGTTAAAAGTGACATTTCGAAAGTTATTTCTTATGTTCGAAAATCCCCGTGCTGTCGATCGACCGGTTTTCGAGCCACGGTCGTCAAAATTTAACTTCTTTTATGTCAGAAGTAACCACGCTCGGATAGCAGGGTTAATCGATAACTTTTCATCTGTCAAATTTTAACCAAAAGTTAAAATAATCCACCAAATGGTTCAGAGCCTCAGACGGTTTATGTAGGTAGCTTTTCGTGTAGTTTACAATCTATCTTTGTTGCACACTTTCGATCGTCTCACTGGGGGGTTCGGACTATTTCGCCGAATAGGATAGAACTCCTACAATTCTCTTCCCTTTAGTTAATGCTTAACATTAAAATTCAAAACTAAAATTCAACTCGGGAATGTTACTTCAAAAATAAACAAAATCATTATTCTTATTGATAATTCTGCTTCTTTTCGAACGCCTGGTTATAGAAGGCGTTGGCGGCATCTTACGCTTGCTTGGTCTTGCTTTCGGATCCGAAACTTCATGTTGCTGATAAGGGCAATCATCTTCAAACAACCTCTGCGTAGAAATCGACGGCGAAGATCGGACGGGCGCATCAAAGATGTTAGAATCCGATGCAAATCCGTAAAAATCTTCATCACTGGGTTGAGCTGTTAACTGTTGGTTTGCTGCGGTTTGATCTTCAGGTGGTTTTGGCGAGTCTCGATCTATCAAAATCGTAGAAGCTGTCTGACGTAGAGAGTCTTCAGCCAAACGTAATTGTTGTCGGTGGACTGAAAACAAGCGACCGCCGAATGAAACCTGGAAAATATTTGCGGACAATCTCTTAACAAACTTTCCCCTTAACCATCGTCGAATGTCAGTAGGGTTATGGTTTTTATAGTATACAGGTTGCCCTGCTGTCAGTTTTGTAAAAGGGTCATGCACAGAAATATCTGTAGATTGTTGAAGGTACGATTCATTATGTTTTGGTGTGGTTAGCTGCCTCTTGTAGCACAAACGAAGTGACAGACGGAGCGGCTCGAAAACTTTGGTGACTAACCTGCTATTGCAATTTTTCAGTGTACCACATGGCAACACCACTACTACTGGATTGAACCACATGGCAACACTACTACTGGATTGAACTAGCATTTTCACCAAATGTACTGGAATGTTTTGGTTCTATCTCTTTCACTCTACTCAAAACTGAAATGCATAAAAAAATGACAAAATGATACGCACTCTTTGCACACTGTCAAAGAATCATTGTACACAAAATCAACTTTGTTCAAATCAAAACAAAAAAACTAACCCATCTGGTGGATGATGGCATAAGCTTCCAAGAAAATTCTATTACAGTGAACCACATTATTTACATGGATTTCTTCGCCAGTTAGTCGTCTGTCACTTCGTTTGTGCTTGTAGTGTGATTTGGGGTTAATAAGGTCTAAATCTGTCTTTGGTTTGAAGGTATAGACTCGTTCTGAAGGAAATTGACCATTGTCCAAACAAGTGGTCCTGTAGTTGAACAGGAAATTGTAGATCTTCTCCTCGGTGTCTAAAGCTTGCATCTGCGGGTCAAGTATTTTTTAAATACTTCTTTAATCAACCTTACCATCCTCTCTGCTTGTCCATTGCTTTGTGGGTTATACGGAGGGCTTTTTAGGACTTTAATGCCTTGATTTTCGAGGAACTTGATGAATGGAGAAGAGTTGAAGCAACAATCAATACGAAACTAACGATTTTAAATTGGCTCACCACTTTAGTAGCCTATTGGTCCCAAGCAAACGATTAACGTACCCTATTCTAGTTGAAATTCTATTACTACACTATGTTTGTTTTGATTCGCTATAAAAGTTTGACAGATAACATCAGGGGTGTGTGGATTCATGCAGAACATGCAGGGGTGAGTGAAATAGCTTGGAACTGCTTGGGACCGTTGTTCTGGTACTGAGTGAGCCAAAAATAATAATGATTTTCTTCGGGACCCAGTGGTCTTAGAGTTACCTCTATGGTTGAAGGGTGGACCACCATCGGTAACAACAACATCAGGCAAGCCGAATCTGGCAAATATTACTGTAAATTTTCGTATCACTTTTTTGCTGTCTGTTCCAACCATTTAGTGTTGCTGTCAACTATAATTAAAAATACTTCTCTTTGAAAGTAGAAAAAATCAGCATGCAAACGACGGAAAGGTCGTGTTGTTGGAATCCAGGAATTGGTTATCTTCGGCTTTTGTGAAATATGCATCTCGTTACAAACCCTACAAGATTTAATGAAGTTGTCTATGTCCTTATTCAACCCAAACCAGTAGACACTTCTTCGGGCTAATTGTTTCACCTTAGGTATTCCTGTGTGATTTATATGCATCATTTTGAGAATGTGCTTTTGTAAGGTATTGGGTATAATCACTCTGTCTTGAAATAAGATGCATCCGTCAACTATTTCTAAGTCCTGATAATGCGCGCAAACATCCTTGAACTCTGGTTTTGGTTGAATAAGGACATAGACAACTTCATTAAATCTTGTAGGGTTTGTAACGAGATGCATATTTCACAAAAGCCGAAGATAACCAATTCCTGGATTCCAACAACACGACCTTTCAGTCGTTTGCATGCTGATTTTTTCTACTTTCAAAGAGAAGTATTTTTAATTATAGTGGACAGCAACACTAAATGGTTGGAACAGACAGCAAACAAGTGATACGAAAATTTACAGCAATGTTTGCCAGATTCAGCTTGCAATTTGACCTTCAAGATGAAATCTTCAGCGGTTTCTGCCTCCCCTTGCACCATGTTGTAAAATTTATAGCGCTGGAACATGTCTGTATCAGCCTTGTCAAAGCGACGTTTCAATGAGCCGATAATCGAATCATAAGTTTTAGTAGCCAAATCAACACCAGGGTGCAAGAGTTTTAGCTCGCTGTAGGTTTCCATACCGCACAGCCCTAGGAAATATGCAAGCTTTTCTTCATCTGGAATCTTGTTGATCTTAAAGATCCACTCAATTTGCTCCACATATTGTGTGAAGCTAGTACCAAGGACAAAAGTTTCAATAGAGCCTATCAGCGGCAGCGGCAGATCTACAATAGAAAAAAAAACTAACTCAAAATTCTATGGCCCAAAACAAAAAAGAGAAATCAAAATGGAGCACGTACCTTTTTTTCCTTACGGAATACCGCTACTTCCGACCAAAATCTGGCTCGGATCGGGGATCAGCACCACGGTTCCACTCAAATGGTCACAGCAACCAACAACAGCAACCTAGCAGCAACCAGCTTCACAGCAGCAACCAGCAACACCTCTGTAAATCGTCCGTCGTGCTTCTGTAAACGGCCGAATTCCTCCGTCAATTTTTCTTCTTGCCGTTCAGCGGCCAGCAGCACCGAAAATCGGTACAAAACTTCCAAATTCCGGTTCCAGATTCCTTCCGGATCAATCTTTCACAACATTACACTGCCTAAGCAAATAAACAGCCGGTAAAACAACACCACCGGACCTGCTTGGCAAAAAAAGACAAAAGCCTAAATTAGCACTCTCTTAAAATCACTTTTTTTTATGAAAAACACTCCGCTTTGTTCCGACAAAATCTGCCGAACAACAAAAGATGGCCTTTTCAGCAGCAGGTCAAAAATGGTTTCACAAAGCGGCACAAACAAAACGCGTAGCTCGCTTTTCAGATTTCTTACCACATGGCTCTCAACTCCACGGATTTCGCGTTCCACCAAAATCCGGCGGGATCAGCTGCCACTTCACTTTTCACTGTTAAAAAAAAATCACCAAACGACCGAACTATCCTCGTACGCCACTTTAAATTCTTTCAACTCGCGGAGCAGAATAAATAAACTAAACACAGCAGAGTTTCTTCGAGTACTACTTTACATAAAAGCAGCTGTTTGGTTTATTCAGACGGTTTATATATGTAGCTTTTCGTATAGTTTACAATCTATCTTTGTTGCACACTTTCGATCGTCTCACTGGGGGGTTCGGACTGTTTCGCCGAATAGGATAGAACTCCTACAATCACAAGGCTAACTGGCATCGAACCGGTACAGCGTGGATATACGATTTGAGGAGGCCAAGAATGAGACGAAAATGTTCCTCTGCTAAAGACTATTTCGAACATAAACAGTGTTGGTGTTACCAGATGTACTTAGATGTTTCTGAACAATTCGAAACATAGAGCTATGCACGGATTTAACATTTCTCGGTTAATCTAATTGACAAATTAGTGTCAACAATGATGTTTTGTATTTTTC